ATTTGACACGTGGAAAATTCAAATGTATTCAAAATATTGACCAATGAGTGGAGTTTATTTGAAAAGACCATTCAGCAAATAAGGTTTATTGGTCATATCACTTAACATCCAATCGTATTCGATGAACGCAGATGAGCTTTACTAATTTGAATCTCAAAGAGCATTCTCATGCAAATTTGAAGTGGTACAATCTCACGCACAACCGAAACAGTCACTAAAAATCTCTTGCAATTTAATCGTTTTATGCATGGGGATGCGTGGTATAAGCCGTTAATCGCAACTCGTTGTCGTGCGTTTACAACTATAAAGGCCACAGTTTTCTCATCTTTGACAATGTTCAATTGTCTGTTTGGTATTCGACATTCATATGCAAGGCCGCCATTTGTGAACAAATATGTCGGCATACGTACGTAAGTGCGATTACAAAGGGGCCATTCAATTAGTCTGCTGAATTATTTCCAGATGATGTGATTTATTCAGGAACAGTTCATCATGTGTGGGAAATATCGTACTACTATGCATCCTCATGTGACTACGTAATGATATAGTAATATCTGTACATAATGTGTAAATAGAATAGAATAGAATCTTTATTGTTTTCATTTAAAAAAGTAAATCTTCTCATTTTGAGTTTACATGCAATAAATATTGACAATCAAGACAACGAATTTGAAATTCCCAACAATATTGAAAGTAGCTTATATAAAATAGAATTTTCTTTTATCAATTCTTTCTATGACTGTAAGCATGGATTTGTGTATTGTCATCATGTGAATGCAGCAGTTGTCAATTATCATGAACTCAAAATTACACTTAACAGGTACGTCGATGGTACATGGAATGATCTGAACTGTGAAGACAACCACATGGGTGCAATCTGCCAATTCGGTGAGTTGAAACATTTTCATCTACTGGCTCGAACTAAATTTCTTTTAAACAGAAAAGTCGTGATTACACATGCACTTTATCTTTTCTTATGAACTGATCATCGGCAAATTGTAAAACTGCAAAAAGGAGTAACTTATCATACACAGTAGTAATCACTATGGTCCACCATAACTAATGGAATCGACTAGAAAAAATAGCGAAACTTGACAAATTCGTCATATAATTAATTAACAAACAGGTTATTTGAACACATAACGTTTACACGGGTTTTATTTTTGCAAAAACAATACAGTTGAATCTGGTGAGCGTCCTCGGTAAAATCTTAGTAAGCGTCATATTTAGAGCAATGGGAAAAAGACAAATAAAAGTATAACTATGAAAGAGAAGATGTTTAGATTGTTTTTTTGGAAGACATACATGAACGAATAATAAATAAAATGCATTGTTATTTTAATAGCGAGTGGTTGTCACGGTGATCCACATTTGAGAACATTTGATGGTCGTGCATATACCTTCCAAGGCACATGCTGGTACACACTGTTCAAGGACTGCACCGAGTACTCCCGTTTTGAAGTCACAACTAAGTTCGAGCCAAGAGAAGATAGTACTCCAGACCAAGTCAGAACGAGAATTGTCGCTTTCAAAGTTACTGTTGGAGATGAATACTCTATCATTGATGGACTGGACATTACTACAGTAAGTTGTGAATGTGTCATATTACGTTTATTAATTTGTTATATAGAATCGTGAATTGGCAATACTTATTTCATTCACAGGGACGTACTGGTGGACAGAAGACTGACGCAAGAGTTATAACTATCCAGGAAAAAGATAAGAAGATTAAACTGAACTTCACTTCGAAAAACACGACATTTACAATGGAGTGGACTCTGAGAAAACATGCATTAAGTGTTAATTACGATGGCTCTTTTTATCACGGAAAACTATGCGGTCTGATGGGCAATGCTGATGGTATTGCTGTCAATGACTTCCAAAAACTAGATGGCAGTGTTGCAAAAGATGCTGACGAGTTTGGAGAAAGCTGGAAAGTATACGGAACAAAGTAAGATATTCTTTCAATTCAGATAATCAATGAAACACAAGGTTCTGAAAATATAAATTGAACACATTACTGATATATTCGATGTTTGTTTTTCAATATTCCAGATAGCTAATAATTTTAATATATTCTTGTTATAGATGCGACTAGGAATATCCTTATGACCAAAAAGATGAACGGAACAACTTATCAATAATTTCAGCTACTCTGATGAACGTTTGGGTAGAGTTTGCGTCTAGATTTAACTTAGAAAAAGTTTGAGGTCTCTTCTAATCGAATATTACGATTTGAACTAAATGGTTTTGGTGTACTTAATTACTATATTCCGTGATTCTATTTAAACTGTACTGTGCATTAGTGCTCTAGGTCAAGGGAATAGTTCAATAAAATGACTACAAAATGGGAATAATTGTGTTTGTATTATTGCTTAAATTGGTTATATTAACAGCAACAACCAGTACCAAAGTTTACACACAATATACACCACGTCCATCCATAAAATTAGTAGAATAACATTATAAACAATGATTTGCAACCTAAATATTGAAGCATATAAGAAGGCAAATCAGTGTTTGTGTGTTGTGTGAGTAGTTTGTCAGCGCAGCCCAGAGCTATTGGAGACAGATTTCTTAAGTAGCGGAAACGAAATGTTTTTTTTTATTATTTCCAGTCTCTGTCTGTCATTACTGTCATCAATCGCTGCAAAATTGCAGGTCAAGTTTTTAAAAATGTGAACTTCAACAAAAATGTGTCATCAATTTGCTGTATCTTACGCCTGATACTAGGGAGATAGGAAATAATGTCTTTCTTGATCTGTTTCCCGATATGTAACATGATGTGCCTCATAGGAAGCGAGAACGACCGGGAGCGAATTGAGCGCTAGCAAACGTTGTACTCAGACTGAACTTTGTCAGAAGATTTTTAGCAATCTCCTTTGCCCTATTTTGATACCCATGTTTCTATCTAAGGTTGAGATGGTACAGTTCTGCCATTGCAGACACGTATGTCCATGTGCGAGCCAGTATAGTTCGATAAAATTAAAAACAACAATGCACACCAGTGAATGTTACACATACAACGCCATGCATGAATTAAGTGAAATCATATTTTATTAGGTATAGCTTGGTGTGGATCTTGTATCCAGTATTTCATACCCCTGCAACAGTTTAGAACTAAACGTGGCCTACATCATGCACCAATGTGGACAACCAGTTGGTAAGAATGGGGTTATGTAATTAGGCACTGGATATACCACAGCAATGTCGGTACAGATCCTGCAACAATTTATCCGGGTGAATTTTACATAGCCAACAACTGGAGTTCACGAATTGAAGCATAGAATGTTTCTACCTTCTACAATTATTGCACCAGGCTTCTTCAGTTTGACTTCAGAATTCACAGATTGATGTTAAATGCCGTTTTGTCAATAATAAAATACAAAATAAATAACTATATAAACGAACAAACAAACAAATAAACAAGCAAATAAATAAATAAATAAATTAATAACATAATTCATTTCTTATAATACTGTTACATTTGTGAGTTGGTCGATTAATAAAAGTAAAAATAAAATACCAGGTGGTCCTGAATATGATGTTTGTAGTGGTTCGATTAATTATATCAAACAAAAATCATATATTGAATACAAATGAGTAAAATGTTATAAATAAAAAAATGTATATATACGCGTATATCACACTCAACCTATTCAGCTTCTCACTGGTGGTACTATGAATTTTCTTGACAAAAGATGTCCCACGCTATAACCCAACCGTTTATCATAGTAAATCACTCAATCACTGTCTTATGCAACTCAATGGAGAGTTGACAGCTAGCTGCAGTTGAACATTGCAGCCTTTGTGGTACAAAATGGTCGACTCACAGATCTCATTAGATTTGGGGATTTAATTAAAAAGAATTTACTTGTGGTCCATGAAAGAGGTTTACAAGGTTGGAATAATAGTACAAGTACAGTACAAGAATAAATATAAATGACTAGAAAAATATGCTCTGAATACGATGTCTCAGCATATTCCCAAATTCTAAAACATCTTCACATCACCATTGTCAGTTACCTGGGAGACTACTATGAGGAACAATTCGTACTGGTCCATCAATTGTTAGCATTTAGTAACTAAACCGTCCTCCTAGACAGTATAAACCGACCAGGACGGGGTATATAGACAACTCGGTGCGTGTATCTTGATATTCTAACAGATGATCAACTGGAAGTCCAACTTCATTTTTCTAACTGACAAACTTATGCAGAGCCCTACCAAAGTTAACAACCATGTACAAGTCATGTCCTCATTCATTCCAATCCATTCATGCAGAACACAAACGTATGCTTTTGTTTGTTTCTTCTTCTTCTCACCACTCTAAAACTAATCAAAGCCGGTAATTTCATTTTGAATGAAGTTTACCACCTTCACAAATTACCGTGAAGTATCTTATAATAAAGTCTTGTATTTAGAGACATGATAAGCCAATCAGAACGCGCCGTTTATGCAATACAAGAAATATAAAAATTATATTCTTACATGTTTGTATGCATATTTTATCTACATGGTGTATCGAGAGACAAACGGTGGCTGTCAATCTGTCAACCAGTGTTGACCCTACCTTTCCATATTTAATACAATTCAATATAACTGTATAATATATATATATATATATATATATATATATATATATATATATATATATATATATATATATATATATATATATATATACAAGTACAGATGTTGGATGTCAATGTTGTGACATGGATGACGCTACATGTACATATCCCAGTGCAGCATCAACAAAAGCACGCCGTCACCAAACAGTGAATCGAAACTCGATCAGTAGCTTTAAGTGTCCCGTCGTAACTGTATCACAATGACAAAGTTATAAAAAAGCGTGCAGTCATCCACTGGTTTCAAAGATAGAGATATTTGACCCTGTGTTTGGGTCTCATTGCTCCATTTCCCAAGTACACTTGGTGGATAGAATAATTAAGACTACAAACAACAAATTTACAATAAAATTTATTCCTTTTCTTTAATAAGTTTTCTGTTATGAACTATTTTAAACTTCAAAACTGTCGATCATATAGCTTTTGGAAAAAAAGGTTATTTTACAGAAAAAAAAACGAACAAAGAAATTCAAAGGTAGACTGTCGTCCAGTTCTTATCGAATACCTTTGCGCATTTGGTGTTTTGTTCTTGTTGGAACTCCCATAACTTCCACTACTACTACTTCCCTACTCTTTCTGGTTTATATAAATGATCTGCCCTCCTCCTCACCATTCTTTAATTTTAAGTTATTTGCTGACGATTCTAACCGGTTTCACTCTATTAACAATCCTATTCATAATTCACTTGACATAGTCTCCAACCTGTCTTTGCTTAGCATTTGGTGCACAGCCAATAAACTAACAGCCAACACAGATAAAACCAACTTCATGATGTTATTATGATTATTAATATCACATATTTTAATTAATATTATCAGACATAGGTACTCTCCTTTTGAATGACCATTCCAAAAATAAAACCAACACCACAACATATCTTGGCTTAACTATTGACTTAACCTGGACACCCCACATCAACAACATTATGAAAACAATTTCACCCCTGATTGGACTGATTGCTAAAGTACTTCTCCCCAAATGTGCCCTAATTCTTCTATATAATTCCCTAATTTTACCGAACATATCGTATGTACTTGAAGTTTGGGGTAGTACGTAGCAAACAACATTGGATCCAATCTACAAGCTACAAAAACAACTAACACGTTACGTATCACGCTTTTCAAAAATAATTTCACAAACAGTAAACTATTATTTCACTCACTAGGAATATTGAATATATATGACAAACTATTCATTTTTATCCATGATCTGCACCACCATAGCCTCCCTCGGATAACAGAAAATTACTTCACTTTATCTGATCATCAGCACTGCGCCCGGTTTTCACCGCAATCAAGCTACAAACTTCCCCCTTGGCAAACATTCAATAGACTTCCAGGGCACTAAACTCTAGAACAATTTGCCAGCACATGTAAAATACATTGTTAGTCAAACCGGTTTTAAAAAAGAACTAAAAAAGTACTTGATCTCACCCTATTCCATCCCTTTTATATAAGCATGTTTTTTTTCGTGTACTTTCAACATTTACTGTATTTGTTTATTTATTCGGATAACAAGGTATGGTATGGCACTGTGGTTGTTTGCCCTATACCATGTAATTTTCTGATATTTATTCATTTATAAAGTTACTTATTTAGTTACTATTTATCTGTGTGTTATATCGCAGAATTATAGTCTGCTACTGTATGACTGTCTCACGCAAAAAAAATGTAGACCCATCGCATTAACACGTTTGGCAAGCGTGGGCGTCAGAACAATATCACACTCTCTAGTCCAGTTTCGACAAGCTGCTTTTGACATATGGGTGATACATTTCCCACAGCAAAACGTAACTCAAACCAAAGACACTCTAGTGTCTTTGCTCAAACACAATACCAGTTCGTATTTCATTAACACCCCGTTTAGGCTTCCGTTTCAAAAACAATACACATCGGGGATGACTACGATTTTAGCACCCGTATGTAATACAAGAACTCACTACTCACACTATGAGTTTTAACATTTAGTTGTAAAACCAGCTTGTCTCTCGGACTACCGCATAAAAGGCCAAGCCTTGATGCACTCTCAGAACACTTTTGGGTTGCACGTTGGAGGCCGGTATATCAACACAAGTCAGGGCTTCGAATGTACTTTATTTTCAAGCTCAGAATCAATGTACGACATCTTATTAAATAACTTCAACCCAAGTGTGTCATCCATTCTATGTATCACAGTCCCTCAAGAGGGACTGTGTATGTATGTAAGTGGGTGAATGTGCTGACCTTTGACACATGCGTCATGACCCCGTTACCTCAAGCAGCCAAGTTGAGAGAGCTAATTCCCGTCATCCATAACTCCCGTTACCAACATACGTTTCCCCGGACGAACATCCCTGTATCAACCACCCCCACCCCGTGAACACCGGCCTAGAGATTGACATGTGTATATAATATTTATGTTATCATTTATATATATAATACAATCCTCTAATATTAGAACAATATGTCATTTTTGTCGCCCTTATATTTCATTCATTTAAGATTACTTACGAGTCAAACACTAAGAAGCAGGCTCGACTAGTTTCGCTATAGCTATTTCTGCTTCCCAGCAATATTATACATATTTACTTTGACTTTTGTTTATTTATTTATTTATTTATTTATTTATTTATTTGTTTGTTTGTTTGTTTATTTGTTTATACATGTACATTTATTCATTAATTTATTTACTTACTTTCTACTGTAACTATTTTCACTTTGTATAATATGGGAAATAAAACAACAAAAACAACAATAATATGCTTTCTTGTTTTAAAGAATTCCTACTTTTTAGGTTTTGGAAAAGTGTACTCTATTCTCCGCGTAATTCAAAACGTATCGATAACTAGCGTTACGTAGACTCGTCATGATCGAATTGACCGGATACAGCGAAAACAGGAGTCAAATATGAAATGGCATAACTCGAGACTTTCAACATATCTTTATATATATATTCAACCGCCTAGAAAACAAATGGAGGGCTGCCCTGGCGCCAATTTGAGGCCAAATTTAGCCTAGAACTGGCACCTTCTGAGGCTGCGCAGTAGTTATCCAAGTCCACAATACCTATCCCTGAACCAACTCAGTGCTTCCGAAACCAAATACTAGTAAATACTAAATACTGTGTTCGTATAAAAGTAAACACGACTGTGTGTGTGACTCGAATCTACGATTGAGTACGCCATCAAGACGCCTTGCTACACACCACGACACGGTTTTCCCGAGACCACCGGGCAACCCTTAACAGGTTGCCTAAGAATTCGACTTGTGAGCGCGCGTCGAGAAATTATAATTATGACTGAAAAAAGTACTTACTTGTACAAGAACAGAATAAAAAAAAAAAATGATGAAATTTGGGAGTGTAATATACAAATGAAGTCATACTGTGAATATACATGTAGAATATAATTATCACCACTTATAATAAACACAAAAATATAAAACTAAATCATGTGACTCACAAGTCAATAAATCAGTGTCTGTTTCTCCTGAAAAGATAATATTTGTATTAATCCATGTCATTTAGTGGCATATAATCACATATGCCCGACCATAAACTACTTGATTGATTGCAGGATTAGATTAATATTTGTTATGAATGGTAATATAAAGCTTTAGGTTGTATTATTTGGAATTACGTCTATTTTAGTGTTGTACACATATTGGTATAAAGCATGGTTTCTGATAGAAAAGATGATTATTTGACATCATAAAATATATATGATGTTTATAGATTTAAAATTAATCTATTGCAGTGTTACACAAATATGCTGTCAGGAAGGTGGCAATGCTTCGTAACACATATAGACCCCACAATGCAATGCGGCAATGACGTCAATTTAAATGTGCAACCCACCAAGTTGAACATCTTGCATCTCATGTAGGTAGCGGAGGTTCGTGCCTTGGGGTGGGGTAATCATATGGTAGGCACGTATTTACCACAATGCAATGCGGCAATAACGTCATTGTAAATGTGCTCACCTTGCCTCTGTCTCTGGTTACAAATCTCTGTAGCTAGGTGAATCGAATCTGAGGTTTGAGGATGTTACGTCATACACATTTATCCTATGCAGTCACATTATAATGCAGTGGAGCAATGACGTCATTGTAATTGTGCTTTCACCTTACTGAATACATCCATGCAGCTAAGGAATAATTAGTGTCTGAGCCCCCGAATTGTGGGTATGAAGCCTTGAAGCAAGTCTCTTTCAGTGTTGCCAAAAATTGCCACAAGTTGCCGTACAAATTGACAACCCATGGTACTTTTAAGAAACTGTCCTCTATATGTACCCGAATACACTTGAGTTAAAAATAGTCACATGGCTGCTTAGACCAGATTGTCATCAACTGCACTATACTATGTTGATTGAGTTTGTATATACTGTGTTCAGTGCATTTTTTCATGTAAAGCACGTGTGTGGTACAGAGAGATAAATCTTTGAAGAACGGCAGTGATTTGGTCGATATTCTCGACCGAGAGTATCTAAACAAGATGTTAGTGATAATATTTTCGCCTATAAAATCACATTTATTTCAGGTTACAAATTTAAAAACTTGGATACACAACATTAAAGCAAATTAGTAAATTAACCGCCAATGTTTCACCAGCGGCTTTCATCATGCTTTCCTCAACAAGCGAGAGCATCATACACTTACCCCGCGAATTGGGAAAGAACATGAAGAACATTTGAAAGTGACTGGGGCGACACCATTTCAATATGATAATTATATACACTAGTCAACTTGGTTCTGCAGTCGTCACGTAAATGATGTGACTTTCTATTATCATCAGCTTAATAATACATCAACAAATATTATAATATTAGTAAATTGCAGACATTTAATTAAAAATGAACAGGTTGGTACTGTTCTGTAATTTTTGTTTTTCATTACATTTTGTAAGACCCGCAGCAAGGTAATTTGGTATACTTAGTCGCTGGAAATAAATTAAAAAAATAGTCCTACAAGAACGGAGAGTAAATTTGCTGGTTCTCTGAAAGTCACGATGATGCAACTATTAAGTGAGTACTGTAATTCTCGATACTGATTACACAAAAGTGCGTACCAGGCCGAGAACGAGTCATACTAAAACTAACAATGCACATAGTTGAATAACACGATATGATAGTTGCAATTTAGAAATCATCTCGACTCTCATTATGAATACATGATGAAAACAAAATCTGTTCGCATTTTGGCATATGCAAATTATTAGCAGGTCCCTCAGCACAAATATTAAAACTGATGTGTTTCATTTATTAGCGTGATAGGTGGCTCCCTTTGTAGTGAACGTATTCGTGCCAGAAACTGTGTGGTAAGCATTCGTCTCGTCAAGAATGGAACTGAGCATGCGTTGATGAATTTATTTTCGTTGGTAGATTTCACTTGGACCAATTGAAATACTTTCACATAGAGAGATTAGAGGGGAAAAACACGTCAGCTAAAACTACTTTTATAATCAAACGATCTGATCATATCTATCAGTAGAACGATCACTTCACTCAAGGCTCTACATACTATTTCCTGTTGAAGAGTATTACACCAAAGACGGTAACGATGTTACATTTACTGGTCATTCTTGCGGCTATCAGTTTTACACTAACAGCGTCACAAACGGTGAGTTTACTTACTACCGGTCTTTTAGTAGGTGCCTCGCATATCTTTCCATTCTACATTAGCAACTGCTATGTGCTCTTTGTTCTAAATTTGGTTCTAGTTAAAATGGTTCCGAAACGTTGCCATGTAAAACCTCACAAAATGCATGAGAAATAAAACATTGTAGAACAAGCGGTGGAGACGATACTGCCTCCCGCTCAGTTTGATTCACAAAAACTCACAGTTTTGCTTTTTGCAATTTGCAAATTTTGATTTCAAAAATAGATAGCATATTTCGTTCAGATCAGCTTTTTGCCTGATGAACAAACCTAGAAACAAGGAAATTCTCTCTGCGGAAATTTATCTGACCTATTTTTCTGTGTTTTTCTACAGAATGAGAAGTCACGTAAGTAAAAATATATGTAATATTTGTGTTAATAGTTAGTAAATCAACCATTATATGATTTGCGTGATTTATGAGAAATATGCACGATATGTTTGATGATATGATTTAATTAAAGTACATACATTTTGGTTTGTAATCTACGAGACAACTCAATTGATCTGTGTAGACCTATCATACGTATACATTTTAATCAGTTTCAAGAACTGCCCAGAAATAAGTATTGGTGTTTCAAGAAATGTTGACATATATACAACAAACATGAAAATACAAACTATTTAACATATTTCAGTATTTATGCTTTGTTTAATGTATGTGGTACCACTGTAAGACCAATGCGATAACAAATAAACACTAAATGTCCTTTAATCTTCTATATATATTGTTAATAATTAATATACATTTTTAATTAGCTCCAACATATGAAGTTGTATATGGTGAATTCACATGGTTTGAGGCAAAACAAGAATGTGAAAAGATAGGTGGCTTTCTGGCCGAACCCCGCACTCCGGCGGAAAATGTCAAAATGGAGAGTTTGTGTGCGTCAGGTAAATCAATTTAAACTTATAAATGAATATAAATGATTATAAATAAATTAATTAACAGATTTTGTATAAAATGTATATTTCTGTCATTTTATTTGCCTTACTTAATTACCATCTATCGCTAGAAACATATTGGATTGGCATTACCGATTTAAACCATGAAGATATATTCACTTACGCCAGAGATGATTCGACAATTATATACAGTAACTTCGCGGTTCATCAGCCAAACAGTTGGGATGGAGAACAAGACTGTATACAATTGTAAGTTGTATTTCATTTATACATAGTTATATGTCTTTTTTTCGTACGAATGTCATCCCGGTATGCCTTCTGTGCTGTTGTGTTGTATGTGGAGAACTTGTTGTGCTTAATATTGTGCGGAATAATAATAGATACTATTTAATAATTATTTTCTGAGGAAAGGGAATATCCTAACTCAAACAGATTAAATGGGATGCATGTACCTCTTAGTATGATTTATTGCTAGTTTTTATATAAAAATTATCTGGAAAGAACGTGTTATACTATTATAAATTACGGAGTTAACAGCCCCCCCCCAAGATTGTAATTAACCAAGCCTTAAATTCATAAGTGCAATTGCCCGAAAGCCATCTCCAGATTGAATTATTTTGGGGAGTGTGATTTAAGACCAGAACATGTCAAACTCTGCACACTATGCAGCAATCTTTCAACATATTTACTCAGTAGAACTCACGAGCTGAATATTGTTATTAGTAAAATCACTGCCTAAATTATAGGTGTGCTTTGTTTTTTATTTATAATCTACGTTTATCATGATGTAATAAATGGGATTAAATCTCTGGCATATTAATGCATTTTATTTATATATTAATTGATATAAATATCATCAGCATATTTGCCAATGTTCAAATGTATGCCTGGCGTTCAACATATATCCAACAGATATTTTGGTGGACACATGCGCGGTGACGAACGGGCTGTTTGGTCATTGCATCAGTCTGATGAATTATTCAAAAATTATGTGATGTATTTAGGAATAGTTAATCGTGTGTAGAAAATAACGTACTACTATACATTCTCTTGTGACTACGTATAGTAATATCTGTAAATAATGTGTAATCTCTATTGTTTTCATTTAAAAAAAGTACATTTTATGAACTCGAAACAATGAAATTGTCTACATCTATTATAAAATAGATGTGCATTGTCATCATGTGAATGCAGAAATTGTCAATTCTCATGAACGGAAACTTACACTTATAACGAAACCAATTAACATAACCAGGTACACAGATGGTACGTGGAATGATCTATCCTGTTTCGAGCACTTGGGTGCAATCTGCCAATTCGGTGAGTTGAAACAATTTTATCGTGTGGCTCTAAGTTTGTTCTATACGGAAAAGTCGAGTAGAAAGGAATGCATCGAGTGGCCCATGAAGACATATGCACTTAAAATTTCCATCTGCAAAAAAGGGGGAGTAACAACACATACACAGCTGGAATTAATATGGGTTTGTGGAAAAATCACCAGCAACTAGTGAAATCGATTATGGAAAATAATGAAACTTGACAAATTCGTGACATAATATAGTTATCCAATGGGTTATTTGCACAAATACCAATTAATTCAATTTTATTTTAGTAAAACTTTCCGGCTTTGCGAGCCTCTGAGTTACAAACAGTCAGTTGAATCCAGTGCGTGTATTCATACCCATTGTTTTAGTAAGCGTCGTAACTAGAGCAATGGAAACAAAACAAATAATAGTATAACTATAAAAGAGAAGATTTGGAGATGTTTTATGATTGTTTTAGGGCGATATACATGAAAGAATAATAAATGAAATCCCCTTTTTTAAATAGCGAGTGGTTGTCACGGTGATCCACATATGAGAACATTTGATGGTCGTGCATATACCTTCCAAGGCACATGCTGGTACACACTGTTCAAGGACTGCACCGAGCACTCCCGTTTTGAAATCACAACTAAGTTCGAGCCAAGAGAAGATAGTACTCCAGACCAAGTCAGAACGAGAATTGTCGCTTTCAATATTACTGTTGGAGATGAATACTCTATCATTGATGGACTGGACATTAATACAGTAAGTTGTGAATGTGTTTAATTGCTACAAATCATATACAATACAGTTTGTTTTTATAGAATCGACATACTTAAGAATTTCTTTCACAGGGACGTACGGATGGGCAGAAGACTGAAGCAAGAGTTATAACTACCCAGAAAAAAGATAAGAAGATTAAACTGAACTTCACTTCGAAAAACACGACATTTACTCTGGAGTGGACTCTGAGAAAGCATGCATTAAGTGTTACTTACGATGGCTCTTTTTATCACGGTAAACTATGTGGTCTGATGGGTAATGCTGATGGTATTGCTGTCAATGACTTCCAAAAACCAGATGGCAGTGTTGCAAAAGATGCTGACGAGTTTGGAGAAAGCTGGAAAGTAAACGGAACAAAGTAAGATATTCTTTCACTTCCGTCAATACAGATAATCAATGAAACACAAAGTTCTGCGAATATAAATTAAATAAATTACTGATATATTCCTTTTTCTCTATTTCGCAAAATCTAATATTTTTTGTACATGTTCTTGTTATAGATGCTACTAGGAATATCCCAATGACTAAAATATGAATGCGACAACAACGTGTTCAATTCTGAATACTAGTATTTTCAGCTGCACTGATGGACGGTAACTCATTCTGTAATACGTGTATCTAGATGCATCCTGGGAAAAGGTTGTGGACTATACTATAATTCTAATTCCGATTTGAACTAAATGGTTACAGTTTACTAATTTATATATTCCATGGTTCTATTTAGACTATACTGTAAGTTAGTGCTGTAGATCAAGGTAATAAAATAATTACAAATTGTGAATAATTGTGTTTGTTTAATGTTGCTTATATCAAATCGGTTATATTCAACAGCAGCGAATTGTACCCAAGTTTACACACAATATACACCACGTCCATCTCTCTCAATTGTCATCAGATTAACATGGTAGTATAACATTATGCACAGTGATTTATAACCTAAATATTAAAACATAAGAAAACGTAGTTTGGGTTACGTAGCTCAACTATATGAATATCATCCGAAAACACCATTATCAAACCTTCAGGCAATACTTTCATCAAAAACAACAAATTGACGATTTGATGAATGCAATCATTTCAGTAACTTTGAAAAATAAGGAGACTGTTAATATTATGTTCAACACCGTGACATGTAGATGCAAAAGCCGAGGTTGTATAGGAAGGTAGGACAGGTATTTATCAATTATAAAATCAACGGCTTGTCTTTTTCGCATTATATATCAGCTGAGTGACAGTGTCTGCGGCTTACCACAACAATTTCAATTGGACACCAAAAGGCTAAACCTGAGGATAAACGTGTCGTTATTACAATGCCAAATTATTAAAACAATGTGACTAGCAGTCTTGTGAATTTCTAATGTAATTGAGAAGTGATGCACCTATCCTGGGATGGTGTTTGCTCCATGTATTGCAAATGAATATCCCAGGTTGCCTGTCTCTCATTTCTTGGGTTCACTGGTGCATGGATTGGGTACAGGGGCTGGTTTCCTCCACGATGGACGTAGCCTGGCTGGTTTTTTCACAAGATATCCGAATCTGTTTTAAAACGTATGTCAGTTTGCTGCATCTTCTGTTTAAGGCGAGGGGAATAATTTCTTTTTTTAACCTGTTTACCATATATTTAACATGATGTGCCTCATATGGTAAAACTGCGGAGTGAATAGAGTGATAGCAACAGGAACCTGTTGGGGATACTAGTCTTGGCATGACAATCGGTCTTTGCCATACGCAAGAGTCTTTACCATATCATTTTAGAAATGCCTTGACCTTTAAATCTAACTGTAGCACAGATTGGTCATATATGCTTGTTCCACATACATAAAACGTGGTTCTGATATAATCAGACTGAGTTTGCTTTTCCCAACTTCCATACATTAGGACCCTACCTAAGTTGGCAACCCAACTTTTGAACTAACTTTGTACAAGCCGTTTCACTCTAATATTGATGTAGAACACATACATTGGCATGTTTTTGAGTGACCCTATGCTATATATTATACTAAATTTATAGGCATAAATTTGCATAATTGTCGTGGCGACTGGCGACCGAAACTGAGTAGTGGGACAAATTAACTTTCTGTATTACGACGTGTTTTCATTTCGTGTTTCGTCGTCTGACAATCAGAACTACCAGCTTGAAAAAACAAGTAACACCTTGGTAACCGTTATTCCGCAATGAAATTATTTTCAGTAGAAAAAAACAACATAAAAGCCATATAAACTCATGTTTATAAACCTACGCATATTACCTTGAAGTATCTTATAATAAAGTGATGTTACGCCACCACAGATGAAATAGAGAAAGGTCCAGCCAATCAGAAAGCCCCTGTTATCAAGTGCAAGGAATATAAAAGTTATATTGTCACGTCCGTGTATGCATATTTTAACTCCATGGTGTATAATAGTGACCTGTTTTCAGTCATAAGGCTGTGTACACAATTTTGTTACAGGTTTTTCTTGTTTTTAATGGATAGACGACCTTACTGTAGTGATTTTCTTAGATATCAATTAAAAATTACTGTAGAAAATGACACAAACAATTTTCTTCTTAAACCTTTTCTTTCCATATTTAATACGAATCAATACGACTGTATAAAATAATATATGCATCAGAATACAATATACAAATACATATTCCAGTGCAGCGACAACAAAGGCATGTCGTTACAGTGAATAGAAAATCTTCCCCAAACACAACTTTGATTGTCATATCGAATCTCCAATACACTGACAACAGTTACTAGACCCACCAATCATCGGGCAGTCGGTAATCACCGGTGTGACGTATGTTACATTAAAGCAATGTTACTTTGCATGTAAAACCATGCATGTAATATTGTCACCTACGCGACTGAGTGAAGTAATTTGAAAATATTCCAAGTTACGTTTTACGTAAACGTGCCCATAATACTGCAACAACGTAATTTCAATTATTCCGCCCCTTGGACTTCATACTTGAGGTGGTCATGACATTTCTTGCAAAATAGTTCTATATTCGTGCAGCATTTGAGAGCTAAACCCCTGTTTTATATATAGATCGACTATAAATGTAAGTGACGTCAGGTAACCAAGGGAAATAGGCCCAGGGGTCACTCTATATTAAAACCTTACACCGTGTGCGTTCTTGCTAAAAAATAATAGGCCCCTAGGGCTGGCAGCACATTGGCAAACCACACCCCCTATTGCGGACGCAATGTAAATTTAGTACCCCCCTAGAGCAGACATATTAAAGAAAAAAACACCCCCTATTTCAGACACATATTGAGAACATCCTACCCCATTACAGTCCCTCTATCACGTGACGTGTTGCCGGGATTCTTATTCCATTAGATATCATTACGAAATTTTATGTTCGGCTCCAAGTGACTTTGGCATGAATACAGGGTAGAAAACCCAGAAAAAAAAGCAGGAGCTGGATGCAAATGAGACCGAGGCGCGAAAGAAGTTTAGGAAGTGTGGATGACACTGGGGAATGACTTTCTGTATGCGGCTTATTGTAATCGACGAAACGAAAGAAAACGGGATAACACACATAATAAAAATTAAACTGTAATCAGTGAAAATGGGTTTTATACGCACAATATTTACAAAATATTAACCGAAAATAATATTTATTACGTATATGGCTCGTTTCGCTAATTACAGATAATCAAAAATATGTAATCAGCGAATACACGTACACTATTAACAGCCGTCGGTTGAAACTTGACCACTATATTCCGTGACCTTTCAGTAGTGTATATAACAACATAAAACATATTCAAAAATCTGTAATCAGCGAAACAAGGGTCTGACACGTACAGTATTAACAATTGTCGGACAAAATATGACCAGTATATTTACCTTTCAGTCGTGTATAACTCAATGAAACATTTGCTGAAAATAACGGGATTTTATGATTAGTGAATGGTTCGTTTCGCTAATTATAGGTAATTGTTGTATACACGACTGAAAGTTAAAAATACTGGTCAAGTTTCGTCCGATATTTGTGATTATTGTACCTGTAATTTAATAAGACCCTGTTTCGCCGCGTGATTGTAGATTTTCGATTATCTGTAATTAGCGAAACGAAACATTTACTGATTATATTGTTATTATCGGCAAATGTTTTGTTTCGTTATGTACTCTTACTGAAAGGTATACTGGTCAAGTTTCGTCGACAGTTGTGAATATTGTACGTGTCAGAGTGTATATAATAACATAAAACATTTGCCGAAAATAACGGGATTTTAATTAGTAAATGGTTTCTTTCGCTAATTAGAGATAATCGAAATCTGTAATCAGAGAAACAAGAGTCTGACACGTACGTACTGAAAGCTAAATATACTGGTCAAGTTTCCACCGACAGTTGTAATTTTTTACGTGTAAGAACCTTGTTTCGCTAATTACAGAGTTGTATGGCGAAACAAGCCATATACGTATTAAATATTATTATTTTCGGCAAATATTTTGTAAATTGTGAGCATATTAAACCCATATTCACTGAATACAGTTCAATTTTTATTATTTGTGTTATCCTGTTTCGTTTCTTCGATTACAATAAGTCTTCTCCGTATGCTCGTATTGGAAGTCAGGGGTAAGTCCCAGTGGGAAAGTTCAGGCGGACGTTTGCGGCCTATGGGTCCGCCAATTCGGGGCCTAGGGCGGTGTATGAGAGTGGTTGTTGCGAGAGAGGGCCTACAGCGGGCGCAGCAACCCTGTGAGTTTATTTCTGGGGGCCTATTACAGACATTACCATTTTAAAGGTGGCCTATTTGCCTCCCGCGCGGGCCCGCTCTGGAAGGTGAAAACACCCCGCTTTCCCGCTAAATTTGGAACGCACAAGGGGTAGTAACAGCATATAGAGTGAGCCCCCCGGGGAAATAGGGCTTGTTGTAATCAGGTTTGTTTCTCCTGGTTTTAAACAAAGAAACAAAACAAGAGTGAGAACATGATGGGAAATCAGAATATGGTACTAGTTACTAGTCATTACTATTAGTTATCGGCCTCCTCAAAGTGATGTGGTCAGCCTCAGTCCCTCTATTATCAGGAGCGAACATTCAGACATTTTCATTGCCTGGCAACCACAGCTAGTAAAAAACTGTACATTGGGCTAGTTACTGAGACTCTCTTGAATAGTTTAACAAGATTATCCTTCATATGCAACAAATTAAATTTGGTTGTTCGGGATTTCTCATAGTTGCGGTTGTGCTGTTTTCTCAATGACCTATTTTCACCGGCGTAGCACATGCAAAGTCCATAGAAATACATTGTACATTGATGCGTGTCTTAGCAACGTAGAATGTCCTGTGGAGGAACTGTGGCAAACGAGATGCTGAATTGTTCAAGTTACGAACATCAAGTTAAAAAAACAGGGAAACAAAAATGACCATGCTCATATTTCAGAAACCATGCCCACTTTTGTGGAGCCACAGCCAAATATGATTTCAATTAAAAGTTAACCAAACTTTCAGTTATGAACAACATATATTTTTTATTTTGTTTAACGTTCCTCGTAACTCAAAAATTGCTCAATTGCAAAGACCTATGGGAGAGGTTTGGAACTGTGGGTCAGTACCTATCATTGTACCAATCTCGCAGGCAGAGTTTTATATTTCTATGAATATATTTCTGCCACCCGAAGAACTTATGTTTGTCTTTAATTGGTCGATATGCCACAGTGGTACTGCTTTCCAAAACATTGCCATACAAGTGTTCAATTTTCGAACCTGACGAAAGTGAGCACGCCATTTGTAGATTATGACCGTTTTCAAAATGAGAAGCTATTCGAGTGTCAATAGGACAAGTTAGCCGTCAATAACGCTAAGTGATTTCGTTTGTGGGAAGATTAAACAACTTATTTTCATAATTGAACCTATAATGAATATTTATAGTAATACAAGACCAATATGTTAAACAGAGTCGTTGTCACAAGAGCATTGAAAGTTTAGCAAACATGATGAAGCACAGCAACAGCAGGGATTTAAATTTGTGAAAATAATGTAATCTGCTTTAATTTAGTAAGACTGGGAGTGTCATAGTATATACAGTGTGTGTCATGGTATATACAGGGATTGTCATGGTATATACAGGAAGTGTCATAGTACATACAGTGTGTCATGGTATATACAGGAAGTGTCATAGTACATACAGTGTGTGGTGGTATATACAGTGTGTGTCGTGGTATATACAGGGAGTGTCATAGTATATACAGTATGTGTCATGGTATATACAGGAAGTGTCATAGTATATAGTGTGTGTCATAGTACATACAGTGTGTCGTATATACAGGAAGTGTCATAGTATATAGTGTGTGTCATAGTACATACAATGTGTCGTGGTATATACAGTGTGTGTTATGGTACATACAAGAAGTGTCATAGTATATAGTGTGTGTCATGATATATACAGTGTGTTATGGTATATACAGTATGTGTCATGGTATATACAGTGTGTGTTATGGTATATACAGGGAGTGTCATAGTATATAGTGTGTGTCATGGTATATACAGTGTGTCATACATGTAGTATATACAGTGTGTGTTATGGTACATACAGTGTGTGTTATGGTATATACAGTATGTGTCATGGTATATAGTGTGTCATAGTACATACAGTGTGTCATGGTATATACAGGAAGTGTCATAGTATATAGTGTGTGCCATGGTATATACAGTGTGTGTCATACATGTAGTATATACAGTGTGTTATGGTACATACAGTGTGTGTTATGGTACATACAGTGTGTGTTATGGTACATACAGTGTGTGTTAT